TATCAATTTGAGAACAGGAAGCAATTCTAGTCTTCCACACCCATGAATACTTAATAGAGTATTAAAGGAGTATTAATGGCTCCTGAATTGTGTCTCCTTCAACGCAAGTGCTCTATCTTACTCCTGTCTGTTTGTACCCACCACCAGGCACCATCCCATCCCTTTTGCACATTGAAAATGCCTCCTAAATACTTCCTCTCTTTTTTCAGTTATCTCAATGAGACTGCTCACCAAAGGATTAGAATTGGTTAACCCTCCCAAATGTGCTCTTTCGTGGCCATGGCTCCACTGTTACTCAGCTGTGTATTTCAGCAATTACATAACCTATGTGCCTCCATTTTTTTCACCTCTAAAATGGGAATCAAACAGTGCCTGCTTCATGGGGAAGCCACCAGGATTAAAGAAGAGAATCATACAAAGCACTGAGAACAGTACCCTGCAACACACAGCAAAATGCTCAATAAATATTACCTATCACTTGTCTATCCTTCCATCTAACATAGCCCTCATCACATGTTCTTCTTTAACTTGTTAACTTTCCAGAATGGCAGCTATGCAAAGTCAAGAACCATGACTGCCTTGGTCTTATCCTCAGTGTGGAGGCACAGAAGGTGGTAGATGGTCAACAAATATTTAACTGCATCTACACAAGAATGAAAATGAGTAGCTCCTTGGACTGTGTGGATGAAAATGTGAATTGTACACAGACCTTTTTTGTAATCAACAGGATATTTCATAACCTTTGATGCTTTAGATCACTGTTCTGGCTTGCTCTCCTGTGCCATTTAAGAAAAGGGGAAATGAAGGACACTTTTGCAAAATGACTAGAGCCCTGATGATAAAGCCAGGTATATGGGTTTGAATCCCACTCCACCACTTACTAAAGTGTGACCTGCTATTTATGCCTATTTTCTTTATCTATGAAATGGGAATGATAGGAGTACCTACCTACAGGGGTCTTATGAAGATTAAATGAGTTAACATTTAAAACGAGCTTAGTGCCTAGCGTTATTTAAGTGTTCACTACTATCATCATCATTGTCATCGTCACTTGTAAGGACATGAAACAAAAAAGACCCAGGCATGAAAATTCATTATAGTTGTAGGAAAACATTTTTCCACCAATACAGAGACTCTATGGGTGGCTCAAAGGAGGCATTCAAAATACCGTGATGCACTCTGGGAAGCTGAGGCAGAACAATCACAGCTTTGAGCCCAGCCTGGGCAATTTAGTGACTTATTGAGTCCCTGTCTCAAAATGAAAAATTTGGAAAGGGGCAGGGGTTGTAGCTCAGTGTGAAGGCCTAGGTTCAATCCCCAGTACTGCCAATAAAATAAAATAACCATGATGTTGTGCTATGACAATTTAGCTGACATTAATATATTGTTGGAATGTTTTGGGTTCGCACAGTCAAAAATCAGAACTGAAAATTTCCTAACCATCTGCTTTGCATGTTACAAATACTATGTTGCCCAGCAGCTCCCACACTCCAGTTAGGTGGAAACACACACCTGTGACCCAGCACCACTCGCTCTTCCTGTCCTGCTGTGTCTGGGAACCACACTTCCCTCATTGCCAGTGCCTCCTGGTGGATTTTCAGCCACACTCCAGTCTGAGGACCATCGGGAAACCCAGGTGAGGTGGATTAACTAATGATCAACTTGGAACGCCCAGCTGAACTGAATCAGTGTGGTTTGGACCCACCTGAGGATTGTTGCCAATGGTATAAAGAGAGAACTGGAGGGGAAGATAGTTGGCTGTTGATTTTCCTGGAGAAACTTGCCACAGGTGTTTTTCTGATGCAAACTTGGCTGTTCAAGAATTGTAGGAGGAGCTCAGGTCCTCGCAGTCACTGGGAATGGCTGCTGTTCTCATCAGGGGAGCTCTGATCTTCACCATGAGCATCACTTTCTGGCTCCAGTATAGATCCCTCAGCCTGTTGGTAGAAATCCTTCACCCTACTGGCTCAGGCTTTCTAGCTTCCACTACTGACCTCTGGGCCTTCCCTGTGAAGATCCTCAATTCAGACAAGCACGAGACTTTGCCATGGGCTCTAGGCGTCTGGCAGGACTCATGAAGGACATTGCCTTGGGGTCTAGCCCTTCAGCTGGGCTTGTGTGCAATATTGCTGTGGGATTTGACTTTTTGGGTGATTATTACAAAATAACCCTATAAATTAGGTGTCTTGTATTACATCTATTTCCCTTGCAAAACCTGACCTCAACACGAGGGTAACTTCTTTTCTTTGCTGCCCTGTCTGCAAAGCCATAGGGTTTCAGAGAAACCCAGGGGCTGAGATGCAGGCTCCCTGTCCCTGGGCCTGGCCATAGCTGGACTTGAGGTCCTCTGAGACATCTAAGATGGCAGCAAACCAGGTCTCTCCCAAGTTTCACACCTACCTGGGCCTCACCTGCTCTGTAAGGAGGGCAGCAGGACCCAACTCCAGGGAGATGTAGGATGCTCTGTAGCTCCAGGAAAAGGCAGCTTAAGACTCAGAGCAGTTAAAGAGCAGGAATAGGATTGGAACAAGGAATAGGAGAGCCTTGTGCTTCCTGTTTTGTACTCTATTTCACCACAATGGCTTTTCCCTACCAGAGTCCAAAGCAATGGGTGATTTGAAGCCACTACATTTAGCCACAGATTGATTTAAAAATCCTTCATGATTTTTAAATCCTTCATCAATATCTACCCACCTAAAAATCAGATGCTGCCACTACCTTACTGTCTTAGTTACTTTTCTCTAGTTGCTGAGACAAAAGGCATATTTAGTTCACATTTTGTAAAGGTTTCAGTTCATAATCAGCTGGCTCCAAGGCAGGGTGGCATGGTAGACAGGCATACAGAGGAGAAACAGCTCATAGTGGGCAGAAGATAGCAAAGCAACAAGGGATGACCACAGCTTTTTACCCCTTATATCTTAACCAGCAGCAGGTAGCACTCATACCCTTAATCCCAGCACCCTCCATTCTAGCATTGCACCATGAATCAATGTCAGAGTCACACACTCACATCCAGTCACCTCTGAAAACACCCACCTATGACCACATGAGACTTCGGTGGGACACCTAAACACAAGTCATAACATTCTGCCTTGGGCCCCTAAAGACTCATGCACATCCCTTTATGTAAAAGGCATTTAGTCCATCTCTAAGAGTTGCCAAAGTCCTAACAGTCTCAGCATTGCTGAAAAGTCCAAGTCCAAAGTCTCCTCTGAGATTTGAGGCAAACTCTTAGCCGGGAAGCCCTGTACAAATAAAAAGAAAGTCAAACCCTTCCAACATTCAATGGCATAAAACAGACATTTCTATTCCCAAAGTCACAAGGAATAGGGATAGCAAGGAATGGGAACAGAGGAAGACCAAAATTCAGCAAACATTAAATCCCACAGTTACACTTCCAGCATCCTCAGCAATCTGTGGCAAGTTGTGAACTCCAAAGGGCTTGGGTGGCTCCACTCCTGTGGCATTGTTGGTGGTTATAGCTCCCAGGTTTCTTCCTTTGCCTGGCTTTGCTCACTTCTTGCAGCTTTCCTTGGATGATCCACATTCCTGGCTGCTCCAACCTTCTGGGGCCTCCACTGCATCTTTGGCTTCACGCCCACAGCTCCACACACTGCCTCTCAGGGGTACACTGCCTGGCCTCCCAGGCCTTCTTCTAAAATCTGGATGGAAGCCTTCCTGACCCTACAACTCTTGCATTCTGCATATGCCTAAAACCAGCACCATGTGGATGATGCCAAGGTCTGCTACCAGCTGGAGCAGCAGCCAGGCTTCTTCCTCTCTTGGCTGTAGGGATTGAATGCCTACGAACCAAATCCTGAGGAACTACTTCCCTAGGCAGCCACCATTCTGGAACATGGTGCTCTGGGGCTCTCTTGTCAAAGCAAAGTCTTTCACTTTTGCAATTTTGAGTCTGCAAAGGGTGGAGGCCTGCTGGTTCTTGTGACATTCTTAAGCCATCTTTTCTATCCTCCTGCTCCTTCTCAGCAATCAAGATCTCCTCTGCTCTATCTTTGCAGTCCACAGCTTTACTGGAGCTTCCTCTCTGGTCAAATTCAAAACATTTTATATCTTCTGGCCTCTTTACTCTGCTCTTGATTCTCAACATAAATCTGGCTAAAAGCCCCCAATGGTAGCCATGCTACCACCTCAACATTAAACTATCTTGAAATTTCTTTTGTAAGATTAATTAGTCTGCCGCCCTTAATCTCAGTCTCAGGCAAAGTCTCTGCGCATGAGCAAAGTGCAGACAAACTTTTTGCCAAGGTATAACACACATTATCTGGAGTCTGACAGCCAATGCAGTCCTTCTTCCCATCAGAAGCCTCCAGAGTCTGGGTCTTTACCATCAGGATTTCTGTCAGCCTTCTGGTCCTCTGAACTCTGACCAGAATTTCCCATCAAGAGCGTCCTAAGCTGTCCACCTACTTTTTCAGCTAGCATCTCCAAATCTTTCTAAACTTCTCACAAGCCAGTCCCAAAGGCTCCTGAACCACACAGTCAGGTATAGTCACAGCAATGACCCCACTTCTCTGGTACCAAATTCTGTTTTAGTTATTTTTCTCTCATTGCTGAGACAAAATACCTGACACTCAAAGTTAAAGGGGGAAAGGTTTTAAATTTAGCTCACAGTTTATGGAGGTTTAAGTCAATAATCAGCTGGCTCCAAGGCAGGATGGCATTGCAGAGGGCCATCACAGAGGAGAAACAGTTCATGGCAGACAGAAGGTAGCAAAGCAACAAGGGATGACCACAGCTCTTTCTATCCCTTATGTCTTATACAGGCTACTTAAGGTGGGCAGCACTCACACCCTTAATCCCAGTGCCCTCAATCCTAGCATTGCACCATGAATCAATCCTAGCATCATACACTCTAGATTTAGGAACACCTGAAAAATCCACCTATGACTGCATGAGGACATCTAAACACAAGTCATAACACTTAACAATTCTCTTACAAGGGGCTAATATCAAAATCTCCTGAATGGTATTCATCTCACCCATTGTGAATATGCGTTGTGGTTTGTTATCATGGAGTTCTTTATCCTAATATTTGCTCAAGGCAATTATCCAGTTTGTTGCAGGCATTAGATGTTATATTGCAAATCCTCTGTCTGCAAAAGAAAATGACAACAGCACTTGTCATGGTTTTATTGCAATCAGTATCTCATCTATTGTATCTACTGCACATCAAGACTTTCTGATGTTTAATACTCATCCTCCTCCCCCCTTACACAAACCAAATGGGCTTCATAAAAGGCTCAAGATTCATGGCTCTTACATTAAAAAAAACAAACAAACAAAACTGGTGTGCCTATTTAAGTACTGTTAACAAAATTATTAAGAAATAAACATTATTTCTCTGGGATAGCCAAAATATTGCATCATGATTATAACATGAATGTATACATAGTTTCCTGGTTGCTGACAGAAGTTAGAGAACTTAACACCAGGAAGGTCTCAGAAAGGATGCATAATCCATTGGGTTTCTCCCTGGACAGAGCAACATGACAAGCCTCCCTCGGTTCTCTGTGTGGGTACTCAATGGAGCAGATTCCACCCACTGAACTTACAGTTTTAATTTTTTTGAAGGGAACGATGTCTCTTGTTCAATCTGCCAAGTCAAGATATAAAAACTGAAACAGAAATTCCCCACAGCCTTCCCACGAAGGACATCATGATGTTTGGTGAGATAGGCAAAGGAAGGTGGAAATGTGGGTGCTGCAATGTGCTGGGTTGTGGCACTGCCCCTCTGGATTACAAGGCAGACACGAATCTCTTGAAGTGTTGGAGTCCAAGGGAAGCTGCTTCACACTCACTAAACCAATACTAAAATGTTTTGAAGACACACTAAAGCTTAATGGGTGAGGTTTCCACTGGTTGGAAGCTTCTGTTACTATGGAGAGGGACTGTGTGAAAACAGAGCAATGCCACAGGGGAAAGGGAGCACCATTAGGAAGAGTCGTGCCGTGCACAGCAAACACACAACAAGGAGCCTTCTGTACCTTGGGAGCACCTGGAATGATGATGATGGAACCGAGGGAGACCGTGTTAGTACCGAAAGCTCTTTGATCGCTTAGTGCCTTTTGGTTGAATCAGACTTCTTGATTCACTTTCCTCCCTGAACCTACTGCAGATCAAACCCTGTAGGACCAGCCCTTGTCCTCCTCATTCTTCCAGCCATTGCTCAGCTGCCAAGGGCCATACCAGACATCCTAGGGTACATAGACTGGCGATCAGTGTGCATGTGCTGCTACCACAGGCCTTCATGGCAAGTTCCCTCACACTCTCTGTGCCTGTGGCCTCAGACCCATCATCAGGCCCAGGACCTTGCCAGTGATTTCAGTTCTCAGTGCCTACTCAGTGGTGGTCTTGATTAGTCTTATTACACTGTCCTTTCCTACGAGGTGAAGCCCTGCATTTAAAGGATTTCAGCCTCCGGACTTCCCTGACTGTTCATCTTCTAGTGCCCTGGGCCGTCTGGCAGCCATTCTGGTTTGTTGGGGCTGTGCACCAAGGGAAAAAGCTGGTTCACCCCAGCACCATGAGACACAAGCTTTCTGATGCTATTCTGTGCTGCAAGACTTTGGGAGTGGCTGAGCCATTGGCCCCTTGGGTGCCTTTCTAACCCATACTGTTGAGTCATCTGAATCATTGCTGTTGGCTCAGCAACAGTTTAATACTCTGAAATTTATCAGGAGTATTCAGACTCTCGGCCTGAGATTTATAATGTTTTTTTAGAACAGATAACGTATTTTTAAGTTAAAAAGTAAAACAGCATAATTATTCTTCTACAGAATGGACAGGCCTCTGCAGATCCAGATGAAGAAGGCTAGGGTTTAAGTTTTCTGTGTACTTTGTGTCCCTGGGCCTCACATGGTCTTCCTTCTATTACCATCCCTCTACCCCTTTTAATCAGACTGCATCAACTCAAGCTTGCTCCTCCTTGGCCTTCTCTGACCACCCCAAGAACTATCGGTCATGGCCCTTGTTGCCCTGTCCTGTGATCACCAATGCTCCCCCTGGCCTCACTCATGACACACGGTCCTGGTAGCAGAGACCACGAGCCCCTCGTGCCAGGCAGAGCATCCAACACTTTCTAGACAGACTGGACCCCATCCTAAGCAGAACACACTGGCTCTCTGCCTGCCCCCGCCACTACTGGCTTAGTGAGCCGAGCTGAACCGGAAGTCGGCCACACCTCTCTCTTTCTCTTGACAGAGGAGGCTTTTCGGTAACCTCAGCCTGAGGCGAGGCCTTGTGTTAAATTCACTTCTGAGACCTCCACTTTCTGACCACGGGACCTCCTGTGATCCCTTTTAGCTCTTGCTCAATCCCAAAGTCTCAGAAATTGGACACCGAAAACAGAGACTCATTTTCTTAAGAGAATAAAGTAGTAACAGAAAAAAAAAAGAGAGAGAGAGAACAAAAGTAGTTTTGCCTTCAGTACATTCAAAAAGCCCTATAGACACAATCCCAGTTCATGGATCTTCCCTCCACCACTTTTCTATGGCAGGTCAGTGCCCCAGAAGGAGATTTGTCACTTTGGATCCAGCATCTAATGCGCTGTTCGGTCTCTCAGTCCAGACCCCGCATCTTGCATCTGAGGGCACTGAGAGGCGGGAGACCCAGTGCTGCCCCGTGCCGATGCTCTGTCCACTGTGCCACCCAGCCTCCTGTGAACTGAAGACATTTGTGAGTCACCCTTTTATTCATTCCTCCTTGCAGACACGAGAGCACGCTTGCTTCTTGGTTTCTTTTTTCCAAGATCTATAGACTGCAATGTTATCCCAGCAATTGTCTGGTAACTCAAAACCTACCAGCCACTCAAAACTAACCCATGGTCCTAACTTCTCTGTTGTCACCTCTCACTGAGACCATGGCTGAGCCATTGGTGAGGGGATTTACAATTTACTGCGCAACTACAGTGTGTGTCCCTCAGCCTCAGGGCAGCCAGTGATAAAGGAAAGGTCCTTGCTGACATGCAGTATTGACGGAGCAGCCACACAAACCACACTCAATACCTCTCTGAACCAGATGCCTGCATGCTTTCGGGGCAATGTAATGCGACTACCGTTATTTCTCGAACCATCTTCTCCATAATCCACCACCATTCGTGGTTTAGTTAATAAGCTAGCAGGTATCTGTTCCAGACAGAGAACAATCTGCAAATCAGAAGCTTCTCAAATGGACTGGAAATGGGTGGTTTCATTGTATGCATTCCTAGTCACCTTGCTAATAGAGCCCACATTTGAGAAATGCCATTAAATGTTCTGTTCAAGAAACACAGGGCCAGGGATTTAGCTCAGTGGTTCCGCCAACTGCCTCGAAAGCGCAAGGACCTGAGTTTGAACCCTGGTACCAAAAAAAAGAAAAAGAAACACAAGCACCCCTAAATGTGGCCTCTCTACCCCAGCCCCTCTCTGCCGCGTTTCCATCCTTGAGGCACATTTTTAACTTATAGAAATGCGGCAGGAGAGAGTTAGACTGTTTTGTATGATGCAGTACAGCCTGTTCAACTTTTGCATAGCAATTCAGCAAACACAGTTTTAAGCATTCAATTCTACTTCTACAGCTTCTTAAAATTCCCTGCAATATAATTATACTGATGGGAATGCAGAAAGATAATTGCTTTTAGAGGAAAGTTTCTCCTTTGTTCCATGTTCATCTGGCTTCCAGAAATGGAACGAGAGCCCTTGAACAGCAGAAATACGCATCCATGTGTCTCTAGTTATCATTTATTTACAAAGATAGACCTTGACAAATGTAATTTGTTCAATAAAATTAAAAGGATGCACGATAATTCACTTAGACAAAGAGACTTGAAAGGGGACGTCATCGGCAGCCGTGCCGTCCATCATTCCAAATGATCAGCTGACTTTGAAGAAGTGGCAGGTGTTCCCCTTTTGGAATCCAGCATTGAAATAGTATTTAGAAGGAGGAAAGAAAGAAAAAGAGCTAGGAATTGGAGCAATTCTTTATTCAGGCAATAATTATACAAATTAGATCTATGAAAGCCAGAGAATGACTGTGCCTTGAACCCTGTCTGTGTGCATAGAACAATGGGGAAATTAATAATTAAATCTATTACATATGCTCATAATTCAATACAAAAGATACCTCAGTAGTTCAAACACTCTTGTATTTTCATTTGAATAAGGCTTTCACACATTCTCCTCATTATATATGTATTATATTTTAAATTTAACAGCTTATTTTGTTGCCTTTATGTTTGAATTAATAAGGGCACACTTTAATGCACTAATGGGGAATTGCATGAGCCGGCTTTGCAGACATAACTTTGAAAAATCTCTGGTTTCCCAAGGGTGAAATCAATTTGCCCATAACGTGTTGTCTAACAGACACATCTGGAATCTTGGAAGAAAAGCTCCCCTCTACAAGCTTCTGATTTGGGGCTCTGTATTTGAAAGAGTATCCCAGAGCAGAAACCTTTGCTACATCGAACAGACCGATCAAGATCGTCTTCAGGATCTGGCAGTCTCTGGGCCAACTAACATGATTTCCACGCTTGACCCATGTCATTTTTCCAGGGAGCAAAAACAATTTTCCTATGAAAAAGTAAGGGTTTATTTTTAATCCAATAATTCATATATTCTCCACCCCTTCCCCTCCTACTTCCCTCCCTTCCTCCTTTCCTCTCCACCTCTGCCTCTCTTCAAATCCCTATTTTTAACTCTTCTTGCTACCTCTGAGCCATAAAGAGTGGGGAAGACAAAGAAATTACAGACTAAAGGGACAGAGAGAGAAAAGTATATCTCACAATGGCTCTGGGGAGGGTCCCCAGGACTGCAGAGTGCTGATGAACAGCACCAGATTCCAGGCATTCAAGGATGAGGGACCTTGGTTGAACTGAATCACTGAAGTCTCAGGGAGCGAAATGAGTTCCCAAAAATGGGTTCTCAATTTCATACAAAATAGAGCGATTCCACTGCAAGACTGAACCGAAAGGTTATACAGCAATGAGAACCAGCCATCCAACTGCAAGCCCAAAAAGCCAGGGCTCTGAGAAGGAAGGACAGGAAGCCCCATCAATGGCTGCCACTTCCGTGCAAAGCAGCTGTCAGGGCACCAGGGCTGCCCAGGCACACATGGACCCACTTGCCACCGCTGCCACTGCTGTATGACAAGGAGTTTTGTGCCTTCGGAAGAACGCCAAATCCAATGATGCTAATTGCATTGCAGATTTCTAGCATCATTAGCAATTCTTAAAATTACATTCTCCCTACTCAAGTTCTCTATTTGCAGCCTGGAGAACGGAGGGGCAGGTCTCTAAAGGGGATATAGGTTACAGAGAAATTCAATTGGACACGTTGGCTTCAGGTGTGCAGGTGGAGGCTGGTCGGCAGGGATTCACAGCCCAGGAAAAATGCTTGTTTGTCTTATTTTAAATGCTGATTGCCGGGAGAATAAACAAAACCTGCAGCTAAATGGGCCTTAAAGGAACACTGGGAATTTTGGGAAGAAAAAAGCCTTACCGAGTAACAGTTGGAACTAGCCCTGTGGGTCCCATGGTGACAAGCACCATCCAACCACCCCGAGCGATGGAGTGACTTGCACTCGAAATAGTTGGTGCAGAAATAACCACTCTCCTTTTGTTTGTTTGTATTTAAAACAAATGAGGAAAATCCAGATGAATTGTTGTTTTTGCTTTGTTTGTTTGTTTCCTTAAAGAGAACATATTTGCTCATTAGGAAAGCTGTCTAGAAACAAAAGCCTGAAGTCCATGTCTCTCCTGAGCTTCTCAAGGACAGACTGCCCAGCCTTCCCCATCCCAGGCATGGCAGAAGTGTGTGGAAGAGGGCGGAGCTGAGAGGACACAGGTCAGAAGCTCCTGGCCATGGGGCAGGGCTTTTCCATGCTGGAGTCAGGACTTCCGCACTGGAGTGATTGAGAGGCCACCAACCCTTCCGGGGTGGCCTCTACTCTGGATCTGGCACAGAAAAGGGGCTGCATGGGTATTTTTTCCAATATTTTATTCTATGTAATTAAATTGCCAAATATATATATTAGAGAGAGAGAGAAGACTCAAGCGCATATATACATGCACACTTACAAATATGTATTATATATAAAGCCCTATGCATAAGCACACCCTGTGTATAGCTTCTAATTGGGCTGTCTTCTCAAAATAATTAAGGCAGTTTTAATGAAATACAGTTTAAGGTGGCTGGCAAGCAAAGGAGCTGTCCTTCGCAGAGCATTACTGAACTGAGTCATCCGAGCTTGGGGATGGCTGGCTGCCTCAGCCACTCTGAAGGCATTAATAACCAAGCTGTTCTCCACTGAGGTCCAAAGACCAGAGGCTGAGGGACAGGAAGGGGAGAGCCATGAGCCCAGGCAGCTCCAGTCCACCCTCTCAGACAGTCCTCAAGTAACAGTGACACTCCCAGTCCCAAGCTGGAAGAGGATTTGCCGCTCTCAGAAAGATCCCGGCAGGAATCCAACCCAGACCTTTGGCTCTGCCTGTGGAACAGCAAGGTGACCTACAGTGCTTTCTGTAGCAACCAAGAGCGATGCTGGGAACTGGGGGAAGGGTGGCTGGAGTTTCTCTTTTGATGTCCTAGTTTCAACTGTATAGTGACTTGTCGACCCCATGAGAACAATAAGATAAACACAGGAGTACTGAAAGATGATAGTATTAATATTTAAATTCTTAAAAGAATGATAGGCAGTCTCTAATAGCATATGGATAACGCTACAGAACAACACAGAACTTCTCTTTTGTTTTCAGCAGCAGGAGGAATATCTGGTTTGGTTTAGTCAAAGGGACGCTTTACCAGGTCTCCCATGAGAAATCTTTGCAAACTGTACCGACTTTGCCCCGGGCAGGGAGGACTTGCTTCCGCACACAGAGCCATTCCAGTGCAATGGTACAGCACCAATCCAGGTCTCAGAATATCTCCTGAAAGGCAGGAGCCTGTAAAAGAAGCCCCACTGTATGACTATAGAAGACCATGTGCCCAGTGTCACAGTTTATCCCTTGTGGCTTGGTCACATCTTGAATCCCTCTAAGAGCTGCAGGAGAAAAAAATAAGCCAACTGCCCTTTCTTCCTACCTCGGAAAGGAGAGGTACATAAAATGAAAGAAAGCAACAAGAGCTCAGGGAAAGTTTCTCTTAATCCCACCTAAAGAGGAAAAAACAGGTGACTTGATTTCTGCAAGATCAGTCTGAAGTAAGACCAGAGCAGAGGGTCAGACTTGACAATAACAGCTGTGGTTTACTGAGACAGGCAGCACTTTATCTATGTAATAGTTCCTAATCCGCCTATGAGGTAGGTAACAGTATTCCCGTTTTATAGAGCAAGACTCAGAGGCTGGAGGAGTTCAGCACCTTGACCATCACAGTCCTAGAGCTCTCAGTGGACAGAGGAAGGCACAGGCAGAGTTCCAATTCTTGACCTTCCTGCTCCTCCCACGCCCTCTCCTCTGCCAGCCCTTGGTGGTCTGTCCGGGTCTCCTGGGCCTCACAGCCTGAGCTCCAGCTGGAATTTCCCTCTGCTTCCCAGGCTGCTCTCCCAGGGGTCAGCGATTTGAGAAGCAATTGGGAACCTCTATGGATCCTGAGGAGGGGACACGGCGTGGGCCGCAGGTGCAGGCCCGGGGTCGCGGGGCCAGGGACATCTGTGTCCAGGGCGCACCCGGTGGAGCCGCGCGGTAACCCTCGCACCCCACGGTCACCACGCGGCCTCTCCGGGCAGCCCCGGAGCCCCTGACACAGGCATCACCTAGATGTCTGCAGCCTCTGAAAAATGGATGGGAGGCGTGCAGCACCCCAAAGCCTGGTGCCGACACCCCCGGAAGCAAATGAGTCATTAGTAACGGGGCGGGGGGGGGGCGGAGGAGGGGGCGGGGGTGGCGACTGACTGGCAGCAAACCAGCTCGGCCCTTTGGGGTTCAGACGCTGAACTGGAGGCTCCTGGCACCAACTGGGAACGATCCCCAGCGCCCTGCAGGGCAGCCTCGGGCCTTCCCGGGAGAGGAGCGGCGATCTTGTGCGAGGACCGGGCCTGGGGGACCGCCTGCAACCCCGACCTCGGGGGAGAGCCACACAATTCCGCGCCTCGCCGCTAGGATGTTCCTGTGGCGCCACCTAGTGTCCGAGGCCCAGACGACGCCTGGCGCGGGCTGCAGGGACTGGCTGAGGCCGGTCTTGGGGACCTGGGACTCGGGCCCAGTCATGGATAGACCGGTCATCCTAGGGAGGGGGGACTCCTGGCGGGTCAACGACACCCGTACACTGGGCAAAAGTCCCCCTAGACCGCTCTTCGTGCTGCCACCAAACCTAAATAGAAAATCTGCCAGAATGAACGGAAGAAATGACTCTCCCTTTCTATGAGACGTCCATGAGGTGATGTCTGGTTTTTCCTAAATACAATGGCAAGTGGATTATTAATTCATCCAGAAAAAATATAGATCCTGTCATCGTATAAACATGAGTCCCCGCGCAGAACTGAGCCTCGAACCATCTGGAGGCGCTGCGTGGGACTCAGAGCAGCTTAACTTTGTACTTCATGGCTCCTGAGGACCTCCTGAGGAGAATATTCCGCAGCGCAATGGCAATGGCCGGAGAAGCTCCGGGAGGCGGGGTGCGGAAGCGTCGCCGCTACTGGCTGTGCTCCTGAGTATCTGTAGGACCTTGACGGGGGAAACAGTTTTTTACCTCTCACAACAATGCTGTGAGGTCCAGATTACTGTTCCCGTGTGATAGATGAGGAAACAGGGACTCCGGGAGGCCACCCAAGGTCAGCGGCCACACCGCATCTGCCCACCTCTCACAAGCGCGGTCCCCGGGAGACACGGAAGGGGCTGTCCCAAGTGGTCACTGGGTCACTTCCGGGTGCAAAAAACTGCGATTCCAAGGTTTCACTGGTCCCTTAAAACCCAGTTTCAGTGCTCACAAACCCTAGTCGTGATAACAAAAGGGCCTTTAAAAAGGATTTATCCACCTATAAAAACCATTGGATTTTATTTTCAGCTATGGGCAAAAGAACACCAAAACAAATGTGTTGGAACATAAAATCCCCTTTAAAATTTAGGACAGTGAGGAAAGAGGAGAAAATCTGCTCAGGGAGGGGAATGATGACCACGAAGTCTGAGGCTGAAACTAGACTGCAGGGTAGTGCTTATCTGGAGCCTCTGGCTTCCCGGGGGATAATTGCCTTCTGACAATTGTTTAGACTTGATAAATTCACGAAATCGTGCAGCCAACAGTTTATCTGGCTACCAGAGCAGATCTGGACAGAACTAGATGAAGGAGTCCGGCACATTTGCAATAACCTCAAAGATAAAACTTCCTGTCTGAGACAGTTTCTCTTTCCTCCAGGGTCACGTTGCCCAGTAACTGCCACCTTCAAAAGCAGGAAGGGGTGGCACTTTAGCAGAGAGCTCAGAGTGGGCCTTGCTTGTCTGGAACTCACTCTCCCCACTGACCCCGGATAGGTCACCTGAGAATAAGCAGTCACTCTGCCCCTGTCGGAAAGCTTGGGGAAACATCCAGGCAAAGAAAGTGAGGAACTGAGTGACCAGATCCCAAAGCCAAGGTCACCTAACGCTGAGGTCACTGTTTTTCTCAAGGGCTCTTCCTCTACCTACAAGGACAGGCTGAAGCAATTTCAAATCTGCTCAGCAAAGATAAGACTGTGAACTGCAGCTCAGAGGACCTCGGAGCCTGCTGGACCACAAACGCGCCATGTGACCAAAAGCAGGTTAAACTTCCCTCGGCCAACCTGGGTTACCTCAATGCCAAAGTCGGTGGTTTGAGCCAAATAACCTCTGGGACCTTCTGGAGTTATTTTATGGGCCTGAATCAAACCAGCAGTACCCTTTATGGTTCAGAAGAGGCCCGAGGTTTCACTGGAGCACCACGTCCCTCAGTTAGGTTCTGTCTCTACACACACACACACCCACACACACCCACACACACACCTCTTGCTCTCTGGCCACAGCCCTCCGCCTCAACGCCTTCCTAACTGCCACGCTGACTGAGGAGCACAGAAGAGACCCTCACCACAGAAAGCAGCCCACCCTGGGAGGGCCAGGCTCATGGAGTCCCTCTGGGACACCGTTTATCCTCCATCTGTCATCAAGAAGTGAAGCGAGGCAGAGGTGTAGCTCCATGGTGGAACATTTGGCAATCAAGCTTGAGGCCTTGGGTTTGATCCCCAGCACCACAAAAAAAGAAAAACAAGAAGAGAAGCCATTTGTTGTACATCCCCTCCTCCTACTCTTCTGTTCTCAAAATGTCCTGATGGAAGATGGTGGGGTCTTCCTCAAGCAAGATCACTGCAGGTCAAATTCCCAGCAGCGCTCCAGCATCCCCACCCTCCCTCACCCTCCAACTCGGGAGCAGTTGAACAGGACAGCAACCAAGAGGGATCTTTTACCGCCCTTAAGTTCTGACCTAACAGTCTCTTTTTAAAAATTCCTTCACGGGCTTCTTGAGGACCCAGGACTGAGCTATATTCCATGGAAAGAACTTTCCAAGGAAAGAAATAAAGCAGTTTTTCTGAGACTTTTCTCACTTTGGGTAGCTGAGAGTGAGGAAGAGGCTCCTTTTGTGGAAGGAGAAGTCCAGAGCGTGGAGGTAGCCCCTCGTGGTGGCAGCATCATCTCTTCTTTCTGCGCTCCCCTCACAACAGTTACTAATTAGGTGCGGACACATTCAGTAAGTACAAGGCTCCCTGCATTTCTGCAGGGTACTAGGTTACAAAAGTCGGTGCCCTCAGAGGCTACCCACCCCACCCACCCTTCAGACCACCCCATGTCTTTCCACTTTCGCCTCTGCCCAGCCTCAGACCAAAGCCAGGGAGGGATCTAAGAGGTACCACTACACAAGCCCTTCTCCTGACCCCCAGCCCAGTGCCTCCATGTTCTGTCTTCCCTCTGGGCTGTGATTCATGGTAGATATTAGAAAGGAAATGGCATCCTTCAATTCTTTTTACCATTTCTCTTATCTTTACAGGGTTCTTATTAAGCAGTATCTTCAAACTTATTTATGTGATGTCACACGAGGAAGCAGTGCTGTCAATGGGACAACCTTCCATGAGCACTGAACTCAATATAAATAAGAGCCAAATAAATGCCACATTGTCTCCTTGAGGAATCTTCTCTAGTCCTGAAAGGAAGCACTGAAAGATGATCAGATAACAGCAGAGTCTGCAGATGAGGGGCAGAACAGCTCCTTTTTCCTCTTCTTCTCTGAAGTATTGGATCAGGGGATTCAGCTTGTTGCCAGGCATCACTTCCATGCGCTCTGAGAAGTGGGCACACAAAATGAAGGTGGGCCGCCCAAGGCCGAAGGGCCAAGTCATTACCCTTCACTTCACAATTTTATTGGCTCCTTTTTGCATGTTATAAAAGACACATACGTATATACGTCTTTTATTCCAGCTTTCATATTGAAAATGAAGGGGCAGGAGGAAATAGGGGAGGAGGAGAAGCCATCCCTGGAGCTCTCGGTGCCAAGTGCCAGGCTAGGAACTTGGTGTTTGTCCCAAGCTCTCCAGCCTTGGTCAGTGGGATGGGGTAGGGATCACCCTCTGCTTGTGCTTGACAGTGGCTCCAACTGCACCCACATGTGGTGTCTCTAAGGTCTGCCTGTCTCTCTGAAAGTTCTTTCCTCTCATTGAACAGGTCTTGCTTCACTCTCCTTTTCCCAATCGCCCTGTCCTATTTGTCGTGGTGTCCTCCACTCCCCATCCCATCCCCGCTCCTTCCACATCTCAAGACTCATTGAGTCTTGAGTCTCTTCCATCACTATAACATCATCTTCCATCACCATAACAAATACATGAGACAGTTATAACTAGAAAAGTGTTTTTGGCTCACAATTGTAGAGGTTTGGAAGCAAAAAAAAGAGAGGTAGAGATAGAGCCCCACAGTCCCTTTGACGGACCCCCAATGACCTAAAAGCCTTCCACTACCTCACCTCCTAAAGGCTCCACCACATTCCAGTAGCACCAAGCAGAGAACCCAGCCTTTGACACATGGACCTTTGGGAGCCACAAAAGATTCAAACTATAGCATTTGTTTACCTGCCACCCATGAGAAAGCATCCCTGGTTCCCCACTGCCTGATCCGGTCAGGGTGGGTGACCCCAGAGACAGCACTTGGCACCACTGTGCTGTCATGCTCTGCCATGTGTCTGCTTCCTCGAGTTACTGGGGGCCACAAGAAGGCAGACTCCTGCTCACTTTGTATCCCCAGCATCTCTTGGTTGAAGTCTAGGCTGCCACCTGCCCAAATGACCCCTCTGTCTCCTTAAAAAGACACCTTTTCTGGAAGGATGCAGACTCATCTCTCCCTCACCCCAAGCAAGGCCACATGGCTCCCTTGTTCAGGGCAGAAAAGGGTGCTTCTTCTTCAGAGTCACTCAGCCCTGCAACAAGGAGCAAGGCTTGGCAAGGAGGAAATGAAGGGGATGTTGGTATCTGCTCCTCCTGTTCCCAGGCAACCTGTGCAACTGTGTTGGGAGGCCCTGGCTGGGGGACTCACTGCGTCCCAAGAGTGGTGCCCACTTCTCCGGCCTCGGGCTCAGCTTCCAGGACTTTTCTCCTCAGCGGCCCACCATGTCCCCCGGGCCACAGCCATTCACTGAGGGAATAAGCCCACGGGTCTCCAGAGACTCAGTGCTCCGTGAAATGCAAACACAGGGCCCAGCAGAGAGAAGCCCAGGAAGTCCTGTTTCTTCCAGGCCTGCTGCCAGCCTCCATGCTGGCCTAGGCACGTGGGTTCATTTACATGGCTGCTTTGGAGACTTTGGCAGATGAAAGTGCTTGGATAGTTTTATACGTGTTGCTCATCATTAAACCGCCCCTTCAGGGTTTCTTGCCGCCTTTGGTTTGTGTCTCAATCTGGAGCAAATTTAAGTAAAGGTTTAGGCCCCTGCATTACCTTGGTTTAATTAATAATTCATAATAAAAATTTAATCAAGGCATAAGCTTTTGTAGAAGGTTATAAAACACTTTTATTTGCCCTGGAGATCAGAATGACCACTTTTTAAATCTGTGAAATGATGTTTTTTTCCCAAATGAGGAAATTTTACTCTCAATTGTAAATTTCAGCTGTTTGCCATATGTAACCACAGAGAATCTGTTTATTGACTTAGTATAGTAGAAGTAGTTAGGCAGGAAGAAAAATAAACCCAAACTCCAGACGGGAGAAAGTGTAGGGAAGGAATGGAGTTGGAGTTAGAGTCTAACAAAACTCTGCCTCTGAGCATAGCAAGAAACAGATGACACAGCCTACGTGCCAGAGGAGAGGACAGGGCAATGACCAGCCCGGGAAGCAGCAGAGGTGGCTGCATGGTGATCACAGCCACTCAAAATCTTTGCAAAGGAAACCCTGGAGCTAAATGGCCATGGGACACTGGGAGAACCCACAGTGGGACGTGGGGTCCTGTTTGTCCCAGTCTAAATGCAGGATGGAGTTCTTGCCTCATGGCAGGGAGGGTCTAGACCAGGGCTAACTCAAACACCCAATCCTGAACAAAGCCAGACCACCGGGAAATCTGCCTAAGACAGATTCTTGGTCTCCACTGTAAATGCCACCTAAAGCACTGTAAGTGTCTCTTGTGAGTGGTCCAGATGAGCCATCAGGATCCTTCAGCATTAACTGAGATTTTAAATATTGGGTGAAGAGAGAAACAGAAAGTCAGTGAAAAAGAGCTGGATACTATCCATGTACTCAGGGAATAAAGCAGAACTGTCAGTTTTCTGCGTCATAATTAAAGGTAACAATGACACATTGTTAAGTGGGTGATGCCCTCCTCTCCCCTTAGTTTGACAGCAACTCTGAAAGGAGGGTGGTATCATT